CAAATTTTAAAACACAATTCCTTATCTGAAAGTGAAAGAGAGAAGAAGGAAGAAAAGGTAGAAAAAGAGAAACATATCTGAAGAGGGAAGAGCAAACGCAGGCAAGAGGAAAAGGGGGCTTTCTGCTACAAGTGAATAGGATCAAGCTCTCCATGTATAGTGCATGGTGGGGAAGCTGGTAATAACTTGTTTGCATTGAGCAAAGGGCTGTCCCAAGATGGAAGTGGACGTACTCACCCCTCCATCAGTGTCGCTTTACCTCTGATTTCTAGGACTTCCAAGGTAATCCTATACTGGATTCTGTTAAACACTGGATGTTTACAGACATTGGAAGAGATGAGCCCTACTCGGAAGAACTGACAACAAAAGTGCATGGAAACAGGCAAATGAGAGGGGAGGGAAATAGAAGAGAGATGTGCAACTCTTTGGGAATTAGGGACTGACTAATATGTGTGATCAGAAGCTGAAAATAAAAATTGGCTTCTCGTACTGGTCTGTTTGGAAGTGGCATCAACTGGCAGGCAAAATGGGATTTGCTTTTTGGCCTGCTTAAATGTTCTGGCTTGGCTCTGCTCAGCTCGCAGTGTCCCATGCTGCTCTTTCAGAAGTGTGTCTAGGGATGTAATCGGTGACGGTTCAAAGGAAGCCAACATGGGGTTTTCAGATTGGTCAGCCAGCCCACCCACCCAGGATTTTTGAGCGCAAGACAGAGCAGATCTTCAGTGTACCCTTGAGATCAGGAATGTGCAAAAAATAAAGTCACTCAAATGAGAAAGAAAGAAAGAAAGAACATCCCTCTGGATATTTGTCTTTCCTTTGGTTGGCATGCGCCCTCAAGACTCGTGTCCTTGGATATTGCCTTAAACTGTTATCGGCCCCTTCTTCTATTGCTTTCCTCTGGGATGAATGCAGTACACGGCCCCCAGTCTTGCAATGATCTCCCTACGTGCAGACCCTGTGCTGAGCTCTGCTGATGTGCAGGTGGAGCCCCAGTGACGGGGTCTATCTGTGTCAAGCGTTGTGTAGGACTGGTGCATTTGACAGGACATATGTCTGCTCTTGCTTTACAAACGAAGTGCCTGGCCATTTGCTTTTTCCTTTCCTTGAGACATCTTTAATTCCCCCTGACGTCACACAGCAGATTGTATTAACCTGCTCCACGGTCAGACGTGGCAAGAGCACTTCCTTGCCCTTTATATCGCATAGGAGCAGGACCTCTGTTACAAGCGTTCTTAGCCATATGGAACTGAAAAGTGTGCATAACTTCTGATTTTAAAAATAGTATCTCCATGCCTGCCCTCTGCTCTAGGCTCATGTGCTGTGTGGAAACATTTATTCTAAACTAGATTATCAAGCTCTTTGGTCCACTTGCACCCCTCTTTTCTCATCCTTTCTCAGGAGCCTGGGAGAGCAGGTAAGCTACACACAATAAGCTGGAGGCCAGTCATCCCAGGTGCCATCAAATCAAGGAAGAAAAACAGGTCCCGAAGTTGAATCGTCCACACTAAGAAAACCAAGTCTTCTCCCTTTTCTACTAAGATTTAGCCATGCGCGGTTATTTAAGTTGCAGTCTTATTTTAGCTGGGCACTGAGAAGTGTTTAAAACAGTTTTAAAGCAGAGAAAGTAGGTTGGCATTGCCTGTGTGGTATAGCCTCTTCAGCTGTCTGCCAGCAAAAAATAAGGTCCTGGGAGAGAGGGGTGTGTTGTCGCTTAGCACTTGTCTTGAGAAGGGGGGACTGGGAGCTTTCCTTCCACTCCTGTTTCAGCTGGATACAAGTGCATCTCTTTAAATTCACCTTGGGTGATTTGTTTAGTTAACTTGCCGACTCGTACACCCGGAGTCCAGGTCCCTTTCCAGATGCATGCAGGTGTTCAGCTTTTCCTGCTGTCCTGGAAAAAATCCCAGGCAGGGGGCAGGGCTGCATGCATGTGAAAAACCAGCAATGTGAAAAGTTGGGGACGTTGAAGTAGACTGTTGACTGGTTCAGGAAAAGGTTTGTTGTAGTTTTCTCAAGACTCCTTTAGAAGTGGGATTTTCAAAAAAGTAATGGGTTAGGAAACTTCCGTGGTTGTAAACTGAAGAGCAGCATTGAAATGCCTTCTTGCTGCTTTTCAGGCTAGGCACTGATGTGCAGTGCTAGCCCGTGGGTGAAATCCACATTATAATCAGATGCTCCATCCGTTGCCTTCTCTGGAGATAAACCAGTATATCTGGGCTTAATCCACAGGCAAGGGGAACCCCTGCTTTTTTGTATCTGCATAAAAATGGTCCGGTCTCATTCTTGCATCTCAAACCTGTTGGTTCTGCAGGGATGACTAGGAAAAGTTTTGGTCAGGGGTGTGAGATTCAGTAGGCAGAACTAGACCTGCTGAGTGTAAATGTGGCATTTTGACTTTGTCCATTGTCAGAGTAGAGCTGGACTTTCAATGCTAGACAGATAGATATTTGCTTCTTCAGTGTAGCCTTTATACCTGGGGCATTTGGTATTGATATGAACACCATCAGACTTTCTGATGAACATCAGAGCAGCGGGGAATGTCCTATGCTGTGGGTAGGTGCCGTGTTAAAGTTTCATTGCTCAACATGACCACGGAGCTACCAGGGATTCTCTGTAGATGATACCTGTAGTAAGATGAGAGGTCACTGATTATTCAAGGAGGCTTTCCTTTCGGTCCGTAGAAGCTAAGAGATGAGCCAGTAATGGAAAAGGCAAACTATAGAAAGCTGATAGCAGAAGCTGGAGTAGACACTGGAGACTGAAAACTTCGTGTTTTCCCATTTCACTGTGCTGAAGACTTTTATCACGTGTTGCCAGAAACCATTTCATCCACCTGCCCTTGGAGATTACCTGGTTAGCAAAGCCTCTGGCTGGCTGAATCCAGCTGCCCAAAAGCATTACAATTGGGTTTTTAAAAACTCGGTGTTTTCCCTCTTAGATTTGTTCTGGATCCCTCAGAAACACTGCCATGAAAATCGTTTCAAGTGTCACATTGTTTTCCAGTTCCTTAGCATTTTTTTGTTTGAAGTTAAAACTTGTTAGGGTGGTAAACCACTTACACTTCCATCCTGTATGGATGTGTGGAAACCTGAAGGGACTTGCTGCTCCTTAAAAGAGTAGCATGAGATACAGTACAGTTTGGAGCATGCCTGCAGTCTGTAATGGCCTTTCTCAATGCTGTTTCACACCTAATGTGAAAACAATTCTTCAGAGCTCAAGTTTTCTCATTTTAATGTGCTTAAAACTTTTTCAGACTATATCCCTTGCCACCTCTTGCCAGAAACTGTTCTACCCCTTCATCCTCCTCCCCATGAGGATTAACCAAGGTCCAGTCAACAAAGTACTTGACTTGCTGTTTCCACCCACTCCAAAAATACTAGCTCTCCGGTTCTTTTTTTTTTTTTTTTTGGCTGCAGCTCAGGGTTTCCTCAGTCTTGACCATGGCACAGCCTCTTGCCTCCTGCTTCGCTCACATATTCCCAGCAGCATCCCTGTTTAACATTTATACAGCAGTCACATCTACAGCCCGGCTCACTGTGACCGGTGCTGGACAGTTATGGAGACTTTGCCCCCATTCCTTCACCCTTCCCAGTGCCCTGCCCTGCTGTCCCCCACCCACCTCTAACCTTGAATATTTTCCTTACATCGTAGCCCTCCTCCCACTTACTTTCTAGCCCATCAGCCAATGCATATTTTGTTGTACCTTAAGACTAAGAGGAGAGGAAAAGTATCCACCCACCTACCAACACCTTGGTTCGTTTCTACCTTGTACCGGTATTTTCTTTGGCGGTTACTTCCTCCCCCCGCCACCTTCTCATCATGCGTGTTTTTTCAGAAAGCTATTTTCATTAACAGTAATTGTGTTTCTGGCTCTGAATAGTTGCCATGGGCATCCGTGGGAGCTCTTTGGATCATCTACACAGCTGCCAAGATTTTATTTTGGACAGCTCTGCTAATAAAGCACATCCTGAGGTGTCTTGCCTTGAGGATGCCAGTACATGCGGTACTTTATTGGAAGCCACCGCTAGTAACAGATGAGGCTTGGTTGACACTTCCCTTTTGGGAAAGTGACTTGGTAGTTGACAGTAACAGTTTCTTCTGCCCTGGCTCTGACCAGTGTCGAAGAGGTGCAGAACCAAAAGCACTGCTGGTTTGACTTTGGATATAATTTCCTATTGCCTTAAATAACATTGCAGTTGGTAAAGGGGATGCTGGGGTGTATCGGAACCCAGAAATCTTAACTGCTGTCATTTATTAGCATTGAGGTTTTCTTGCAGGTTGTAACAGGAAGGCATGTAAGAATGGGAAATGACATGTCAGCCTTTTCCTCTCTTCTCCCCACTCGCTTCAGTATAGACACAAGGAAGGAAGAAAGAATAGAAATGGGGAAGAACCTGCAAAAACACAACCCAGTTTTCTAAGATAGATCATAAAGCAAGCACTTCTTAGACAGTTGTTTGCTGCTCAATAGCTTTGCAGCAGCAGGAGAACCTGGCCAATATCCTGCGGTGAATAACGATGTTAACAAAAGTTAGGGATGTGGGCAGAGCCCTCTTATGGGGGCCAAATTATGTCCTTTCCTGTTGTTTCACTTCAGGAATGGAGTGCTGCAATATTACATGCTAGCTGATCTTCCAGTGTTGAAGTAGCCTCAGCATAGCAGCAGCAGCAGCAAAGCCTGCAACAATCTTAAACCCAAACCAAAGCATTTACGTTCCCATGCTCAGGCTTGGTCCGTTTTCTATCTTTCTGATCTACCCTCTGCACTTGGTCTGCCTTCAAGATGGAGCCAGCACCCTGGGAGCCCCTAATATCTTTATTCCAGGCTGCAGCATTTGCAGGTGGAAATCCCGTGGAGTGCTGGCTCCCCGGCCATGCCAATTCCCACCTCTTTAATTGTTTTTACTGATGAGACTTTTTCATGATTCACCTCTGTTTTTCCTTTCCCAATAGGAAGCCAAGTCCCAGAAGGGCGACTGCTGACCACCGTGGTCCCCTCCTTCACCATGGCGACCCCTGATGTGAGTGTTCACATGGAGGAGGTGGTCGTGGTAACGACTCCTGACAACATGGTCGATGGCACTGGCGTAGAAGAAGTGAAAACTGTGCTAGTGACGACAAATCTATCTCAGCACGGGTAAGAAGTTGTTTCACCATACGTGTTTAAAAAGAACATGGGTGTAGCAGTCGCATCCCAGCAAAATACAGGGCTTGGTGTGAAAATGAGCAATCGCCCATCATCTTGCCTATCTTGTTTCTGGTACGTTACCTTGACACGGCTGGACAAATTTAGTTGGGTACCATGCAGGTCAGATAGTTAGGTTAGTAACCCCTGTGTCGCCTTTCTGGTGGATTATTGCTCAGAATGTGCAGCTGGCAAAGCAGTTTGCCAACAGATGTTAAACTTTGGAGTGCCCAACTTGGGTTAAAACTGGGCTTTAGCTGATGATCCTGTCTATAACGCAGTTTCTGCAGTATCAAGGGAACTGGGTGAAGATGGTAGATCCATGATGCTGCTAAAACTTGGCGTCACCTTGTATAACAGATTGTTTCCAATCCTGTTAAACCCAAATAGGATTTAATCGCGGTCTGCTGCTGTCCTGAACTTTGGCAGGCCTGTAGTTGGTTTAGGAACAGATTTAAATAAGAAGAATGCTGTAAATATGTTTGTGCTGCAAAGTCAGACCACATTTTTAAGTGGGAGGATCAAGGATCAGGTGTGTTTTCTGATATTGTAGCGTTTGGAGCGAAAGCAAAACTAGGCCTCGGCTTTGAGTTAAAGGATCAGATTTTCAGTGTGGTTTGGCCTTATCCATACATACTGGCCCAAACCGAATGATAGCCCAGGTCAGTTAGAACTAAGTTCTTACTATGGGTAAGGTCATTTGGTTTTGTGCCGTGAATGGGGATCTTAGTAGCCTTTTTACAATGTCTGTGGTTGGGAGAGGATGATGCATTCATGTCCTTGTGGTCAGGAAAACTGTCTTAGTAACGTGAATGCAGCAGCTGCCAGAATGTCTTAAAACCATAGCATGGTCAGTGCTTGAAGGAAAAGGATTTCACTTCTCCTCCATTTGAATGGGTGGACTGGCAGCTTTAAGGACAAAAAGTCACTGTTTTACGTTGGTGAGAGGAAATGGAAGAAAAGGGCATGGGACCTGCCTTACTGTTAAATTCTATAAGGAGAACCTTTTGCTGTCCCCTAGCAAGGCTCAAACTTGCCAGCGTTTTGCTGATGTCGAGCTGGTGTCACTGTCTTTTTCTCATCCTAGGAACAGTGCACGAGGGGCCCTGCGGGCTTTCTTCTCTGGGAGCATTTACACTTGTGCACAAAGTAGTGGGCTGAAAGAAAGAGATGGGCGTCTCATGAGCAGCAGTTAGCTGGCCATTGATCCCTCCACTGTGGAAGCATGAACTCACTGCTGAGACTTTTGCCCTTCTACTGCTGCCTTATTAATTTTACAACTGTTTATTTTAGACAGAAATGACACATTTGGATTAGCCCTTAGAGGAAAGAGAGGCTCTCTTGTTGTTAAGGTCTGATTTCAGATCCTACCTGTGCCCCAGACTTTGTGTAAACTTTGGATGAGTCGCTTAACTGCTGCCTTTTAGCTTGCTACCCATAACCTAGGAATGAAAGAATTTCCTACCATACTGATTTTGTAAATATAAATTTCATAGACTTTACGAGATCAGGGCCTATATAAATGTATAGAACCAGTTTCCATGCTAATGCAAGAATCTGTATAACATGTGCAGACACCTACATGTGTACTGAGTCATACATCTTTTACAGTACTCTTGCTTTTAGTCTTTTCTAGGTCAGCAAACCCTTTAAAATGCAATACAGTAGTTTTGGCAACTAACAAACAGCTGATGGTTGGGGGGATTAAAAACTAGGTACATAAAGATGATCCCACAGTAATCTGATGTTAAGCAATTTAAAGTTAATTGAGAAATTAACTTAAAAATGTCGTAGCACTTGCAAAGGATCCATACTGCAGTCCTCTAAGTGTTATGCATCAGCACAACCTGCTATTGAAACACTCGGCTTTGTTGCTCAAAATCTGCATTAACCGAGCCTGTGGGTCACTGTGCATTTGTATATATTTGTTTCAGTTAATTCTCTGTATTGCTACCCACACAAACAGTATATTTATAATGAAGAATATGTTTAGACCTGTGATCCTCAACCAGGGTGTCTTCGTGCCACGAGATCCTTTCAGGGTGCTGTGGGGTGCCACACAATGTTAGCACTGTTTAGATGTACAAAGGCGATTCACCAGATAAGCCCAGAGTTTTCATGTGGGACTCTATAGTGTTAAAAATATTCTGATGCGTTGTGGTGTTTTTGAGGTCTTTGCAACGAAGAATTACTTTATTATTTTTCTGCAGTCAAAAAAGAGTGAAAACAAAGAGCAGGCATTTTCCAAGGGAAGCCTTGAGTCTATTGAGGGATGCCTCGAGTCTAAAAAAAATTGAGAACCCTGGTTTAAATGCTGAAGTTTTCCATGTATCAGTATTTCACTTAGAATAGATTGCCCACCCCTGAACTAACTGGCTTAGCTTTTAGACTCTGCTTCCACATTCCTTTGCATGTTCCATGTTTCCTTTGACTTCATTTCTCCTAGGGGGAACTGGCAAAGCAGTTTCCATGCCAGCTTACAATGGAACTCCTCAGATGCAGAGCACACAGTGTACTGCTGCTCTGCGCGTATGGTAGGGGGATGACCATCTTCTGGCTTGAGGTGAGGTCTTCTAAACTAATTCAGTGGGGAAGCTTATGTTGCAAATCTCTGCAAAGTAACTTTGCAAAAGTAGAATCAAGGGGTTCCAGGTAGTTTCTCAGTGGTGCTAAATCACGCATGCTTATTTTAAACATAAATAGAATTTTTTTTTTTCTTTCTGTTTTTCATTCCTACAAACATTCCCTGATCAGAAAGTGAAGCTGGGTTCTTCTTGCTCACACATCCTTGCCCTCCGCAGCACCTCAGAGACACCTGAGCCATCTCTCTGTCTTCGAATCATGCAGTCACTAACACTTCTAACTTTGTCTTTAGTGCAGCTCTACAGCTATTATTGACTGGAGCTCAGTGGGTAATTCTGATGGAAATACGCAATGTAGAGCGAGCTGTGCATTCTGCTGTCTTCACTGTATTGTCTTCACGCTGTTAACAGGAGCAAAAAGCCATCCACCCATTTTGGATGCTAAGCAGAGATTTTGGTCACATAGGGGGAATTTCTCTTAACTGAAAAAGAACCATTTTTATATGATGACTTTTCAGAATAGAAGTACACGTTAAGATGAACTTCAGTCTGTGTGGGAGTGAAAGTACATGACTAAATCGATGCTTTATTCACTAAGCCATGTGCTCCTCATGAGGAAAGGGACCCACTGCTGTAGTATGTGCTATAGTAAAATCTTTTGTTTGCAGTGTTTGTATTCACAGTCCACAATTTTAGTAGCACTCTGCAGGGTCCTTCTTGCCATCACATTAAGCAGTGCCAAGGGAATTGCTAATAGGCCCTTAACAATAAAAATGACAGATGTGTCACTGAAAATACCACTGGGATATAGAGCGGAGCTTTGCTTTTCAAAAAACTAACAGCAGCAAACTTGGAAAGATTCTCAGATGTTGTTTTCCCCAATGTTTGAAATCCATATTTTAAAAAAAATTGATGCTTTCAATACAGTACTGCCTGGTCTTGTTTGGGTTCTTATTTTTCTAGGTACAGATTGGCTAGCTCCATGTTCACAAAATGAAAATAGCCAGTTTACACACACAAGCCACACTGTTTGGTTTAATTTTCCCTGGCATTTCTATGGCTTGTTCAGGGAGCATCTAGTGTTTCCAGAACTTCTCGGGGTTTCAGCCTGTAAGAAATCCAAGGTTGTATTTACAGCTGTTTTACCAAGGTGGTTCTTTATTTGAAATGATCAGAGAAGCCTGCTGCTATTTGCTTGTCCTCCTTCACAGAGGAGCATGTCTGTCCTGTTTGCACCAATCCATTCCACTCCACGTTCTCCCTCCAGCTTTGGGGCAGTGCATCAGGTTACAAGGCCCATGTTATAAAAAGGTCAGCAGGGTAATGTTGTTCCTGTTCTTCTACCAGAACCAGCACTCAAGGTCCTTGTTATGGAACAGACTTGCTGCTGGCAAGAGCATGGCTGCTTCACTGGCTGCCAGTTCACCCTGCTCAGTCGGGAAGATATGTTCTTTATCTTCGTCAGCAAGCCAGTGAGGGTGAGGAAAGGTGGATACGAGGTGTCAGCCTTACTAAAGGCAGCAGACATGCCTAATAGGTGTAAATTGGCTTTCCTCTTCTGACATCCCTTGGGTCTCTGTTCATTTTTTTTTTCCAGAGCTCTTTTTTTCCTTCCAACCTAATGGATGGCACTTGCAAGCAGTGGGGTCAGTTCTTTTCCAGCTGCTTTCTTCGACAGCTCGGTGTCATTTCTGCGTTAACATCCCTGATCTCTCGGACAGCGTAGCAGTCACACATGAACCTGGGAAGCTGCCATGTAAGAAGGTCTCTCTGAGTGCTAAATGCTTCTTGTTTCTAATGTGAATGCTGGCCAGGTGCCTCAGAGATCCACTTGCAGCAGTGTAACATGCTTCTGGGCGCCTGAGTGTTTCGATTTGTTTGGTGTAAGGGTGGTGTTTTTTGTCCCCCTTCTTCCAAGCCTGTTCCAAATGCAGGATTATTTTCTTTACTATTTTTTTTTTAAATCTTTTCTGGTTCACCTCTCAAAAAACAGTAGCAGGTAATTCTAGAAAGTGGGTGAGAGATGCTGATTTTTCTTCAGCCACAGTCCCAAGCAGAGATCCGTTCTTCTGGGTTTTAGGGTGCAAGCAATGAAGAGAATCTGTTGTTTTAATGAGACACCCAAAGGCCTGCATGCTGTCTGCCTAGCACTGCCGGACCTGCTGGATTTTGGGGCACCTGAATTGAAGCTGAAGGATAAGGGCTGCTGTCTTGCAGAGCGGGCTTGCTGCAGCCATCGCAGAGGGGCGATAACCTGCCCCAGGGACTCATTTTTAGATCTGGAAGGCTGCCACTGCAGGGGCTCCTTTTCCATTCTTGGGAGATGCCGTCGTTCTTTTGGCTTCTGCTTCATCCAGTCTCATTTTCTATCCCCAGCTGGAATGGGAGACAGGAGCGGCTGAGGAACATGAGCTTGGAGCTTCCTGCTTTCACAGCCTTGCCTACAAAATGGTCTCTGAAATTGGCTCCTGTCCTACATGGCATGTTAAAAAAAGATACCCACTAATGGTCACCTTGAAACCAACAGGATTCTGGATGGAGACATTTTTCTAATGCTCTCTTGGGTTTATTGTTGCTCTGTGAACCCAGCCAGTACCTGGAGCATAAGAACATATTAATTGTTCAGCTTTTAAAGGCCTGGTTAGGAAATGCAGAGGACAGTGCACATTGACAGGGCCCAGCAATTCACGTTTCATTTCTCAGCATGTGAGAGCAGGAGAAATGCAGGCGCGGGGTGGAAGCTGGTGCTGCAGCTTCTGTACAGCAGCCAGACTGCAGTTAGCACCAGCTCACATCTCTGAACCATGGCCACTGGCCTACACATCTAATTAGAGATGCTTCTGTACCTTTTATTTTTGGTGGAGACTCTGCTCTCTGCTTCCCGTGCTAGGTAAAACCCACTGAGAAGGAGGACATGAGCCCAGCACTCCATGGACACTTAATTTTCTTTCCCCCCCCATCATCTGGTTTATGGATCCTCCTGGGGAGAAACTTGAGAGAGATCCTTTCTGACGACATGTGAGCAGCATTGCCTCCCACGACTTTGTCATGGCAACCAGCTAGTTCAGAGACTTGTATGGTGGGACACACTGCCGTGGCTGGAAAGATGTCTGCACGCTCTCCCTCCCCACCCACCCATTTCTACCAGCCTGCAGAGTCTGTCTGCATCTGCTCAGGAGAGCCAGCTGCAGGGGAAGCCGGGGGAGACAGAGAGCACTGTGTGAGAGATGCTGTACTCCTTCGAATGCCTTCTTTTCACCTAATTAAACCTCTGCAGGACACAGACTTTTACCAGAGCTTTGGCAGTGCCTTGCATTTGTTTCTCAAAGAATTTTCCAAGTTAGGAGTTTGGGCAGGACTAGTTTTTCCTGCTCAAAACCAGCACTAAAATTAATAGGAGGTGTTGTGAGCAAAGCAGATGGGTCTCGCGCTGGATACCCTCCTGTACAAAGACTGGTGGAAGCTCTGACATTGATGGAGTTACTCCTGATTCACAGCAGTGAGAACAAGATCAGAATCAGGCTCATGACATGCCGGTGCTCTGCATTCAAGAGAAGGCTTCTCTCTCTCTGTCTGCCTCTGTCTCTCTAGGCAGCTCGACGGGATGGGTCTATCTGGAATGGCATGAAGGTATGAATTTACCAGATTGATAGGGAAGGAATCATGTGGCAGGCTGGTGAAGCATCTAGTTAAAGTTCTTCCTTCCTCCACTTGTGTTAGATCCTTGCTGCTCAGATGTCTGTCCCCACTTGCCTCAACTCAGCATCATAGATTTGCAGGCTGCCATATGCCCAGCAAGTCCACAGGAAAGTGTAGCAACGTAGCTTGGGAGGAAAATGCTTACAGAGGTGGGGGTGGGAACCTGGTTTACGAGCCTGTGTTTTGCAGGTGTAATAGCTAAGCAAGTTGGCCTGGTTGCATTTATGATACAGAACACAGGGGGTTGCAGACTGCTCACGAGGTTCCACTTTAGAAACACGTTGACACCATCTCCCTCCTTTCATTTTTGTGCTCACTAGCCTACTTCATTGCCAGCATTCTTTGGCTTTTTGAAGTGTAGCAGTAAATTGTCAGGGTTGGCTTTTTTCATGGGCTTTCCTTCAGCTGTGCCAAGAGTGACCTTGCTTCTTCAAGGCAGAAACACTGCAGAAGAGTTAGGTTTTTATTTTTCTCACTTGCCTCATGCTTCTCACACAAGATCCCTTATCTCTGTACTGCAGAAGCACCTTGCTCGGTGGCTGGAAGAGAGAGCAATTTCTCAAGGCTGCGGTTCCACCCTGCAGCCATCTACCGAGAAGTCGGAAGGGAAAAACCGGTTGCTCCTGAACTTGCTTTGCCTGCGTAGCTCTGCTTTGTGGAATCTGCAGGCAGCCAGTGAAACGCAAGACTGCTCGTTTTAATATACCCCCTGGTCCTTGAGCAGGCCAGACTCTCTATTTACATTCCCCATTGACTCTTGTTCAGGGCACAGGGTTCGTACAGAGCAGAACTTCTGGAATGCCAGGAAAACCATCATTTTCCCACTGTAGGACTCCAGAGAGGTAGGGAGTTTGCTGCAGTAATTAGACTGGGTCTCTGCCAGAAAAATGCAAATGCACATCCACAAGAGGCAGCCGTGCACACTAATATCCAGAGCTGGTGAGATGCACAGATGTAGTCCACTGAGAAGCCAGCATGGGGAGATGGTGAAGAGCGACGTGTAGATCATTGATACTATGCATTAACTGAGCTTGCGGCAACATCCTCTGTGCGAAACGAATATTTACAATCCAAAACAGCCTAAGCATGTGTCATATTTATGTATGTTCTTAAAAAAAAAAAAATGCTTCTTTGAATAGTCCACTTTTGATGTACTCTGCTATTGCAGGCCAGGGACTAGAGAGCGGGTATAGAAGCCATGCAGAGCCATTTGTTTGTCTGTCTTTCCATTAGCAATCACCACAAGCTAGGCTTTCTTCCTATTGTAAGGCAGGAAGGAGATGAGTTCTTGATGCATTTCTTTAATTAGCTGTTTGCCTCTGCCTGCAGTATCTTTTAGTATACAGACACAATTTGTAAGACAGCAGGCAGTTGGAGCTCTTAGGGTACACGGAAATGCTGTAAAATGCACGTCTCTGTTTATGAGTTTGCTTGGTCTTTTTTTTTTCAGCAGATCTTTAGTAGAGCAGGCTCAGTGGCAGAAAGAGGGGAGGAATGGGTACCCAGTAGTGGTAAATGGGATGGCAGTCTCTGCCTTAATTTCTGCTTCACGTAATTGGGCATGGGAAGAGGAACAGCCAGAAGTGAGCTGTTCTCTCCTCAAATATTGCTGTGCCTTTTAAGGGAATTTCTGTGCTTCAGCCCTCCGCATAACTGTTCTGAAATCAAGAGTGTCAAGTGCATTTTCCTTGTACTCTTTAAATCAGAACCTCTAAGTATTCCCTTTCCAGTATGAGAGTGTACCTACTTTGCTCACTTTGCCTTCTTTGCTGTGGCAGGAAGAGAGGTAGTGAACTCCAGGAAAGCCAGCGTCCCCTGTTACCTCTGCCAGGGGTTGGGAAGTTGTAGGCTGGGTGAGATTTCTACCAAGGGGCTGTCACTAGCCCTTGCTGGGAGGTTCTGTCTGCATGTTGGCTTATGCCTAATAAGAGAAATGGAAGCTATAACTTCCACTAGCTGCAGGAGAAGATCTCTCCGCCAGAGCCTTCCTATGGTCCCAGTGTAGGTTGGTTTCAGCTCCTCTTTCCCCAGGCCTCCTTTTCCTCAGGTGCTTCTGTCCCACGCAAACCATCACCCTGCAACAGTGTTGGTGTCCTGCTGCCTGCGGCTTACTAGGTAACAGCAGTGAAGCAAAGTGTTTTTTGTTTCTCTGTACTTCTGGGGTTTGACAAAAGCTGAGTGGCAGCAGACCCTGGAGCTGTCTGCAGACCAGGAAGGCAGGCTGTCAGTTTGTCCCTGGTTTACGTTTGCAAAGTTACCTTACCAGTCATAAAGGCTGAACACAATTTAAATGCATCTTAAAGTCTTTAGCCATTCAGGTTTACATCCCCTCTGCTGTTTAGGTGCACAGATTATTCGGGTCCTTACTTGGTCTGCCAGTGTGGACAGGGTCAAACTACATTCTAGCCTAGCTAAGAATCCTTCTCCTAACCTAGATGCCCCCTGGCATAAAAGTCGGTAAAGCAGGAGGTATAACATATGACTTGGTTTCATTCATCTGCTAGTATAACCCCAGCAACCAACTTTTAAAACACATGCACACCCTTAAAAGTCTCTCATGGCATCTCAGGGTGGCACAGCAGTCTGGTTGAGAATCACTGCTCTAATGAAATACTGCCCTGGTTATGCTGCCCTCCCAGTTCCTATTTCTGAGAACCAGAGAACCATAAAGGAGACCTGTTGGGTCCTCCCCACCCAATAGAAGATTGATTGTTTCCCCACTTACTTTCCTTCCATCTTCTTTTTTGAAGAGACTGCAAGTGTCTGGGAGAAACTTCAGAACAGCAGTTTGCTCTGGATTTCTATTGTACTAACAGAAGACTAATTCTTTACTTGGAAAGGGAAATGGTCAGGTTCTTATGAGCACAGCAGGGAGTTGCAGCTCCGAGATCACACAAGCAGCCCTAGCCTATAAGTTTTAAAATTAAATAAGGGAAAGAAAGTTAAGCTCCTGCCAGTGAGTCCTTCTGGTTAAAGAAAGGTTTTCCTGTCTAGGAATAACTGGGATGCCCTTGGCTTACAGGGAAGTGTGTTGTTAATGACCTTTGAGGTGGGGTTCACTCCACCAATCAGAAATGGGGTGCTTAATTTTGTGCATTTGGCTCTCTTACCAGTGGTGACCTAAATGAAGACACCCTGGAGTCGGAAAATGCAGCTGCTGCAGCTGCAGCTGCCTTCACAGCATCTGCACACCTGAAAGAAGCCGTCTTAGGTAGGTTCAGTGTACTGCATTGACCTTTACTGCCGACTGCCCTGCATCTGACTTGGCAGCTTCAGCAGGCCTGCTGCTTGTGGCGTAGAGTGCTACATCTCTACGTGGCACAGCTGCCTGGGAGCATGTGACAGTGACAGCTCAGCAACTTCCTTGCAGAGCAGATGAACCGATGCCTTCTGGATCAGGTCCTGTTTTCACTTCTTCCCTGTAGGTATCACCGGTGGTTATATATTCTCAACTGAAACACCACTGAGGTCAAACAGTCATGCCCTTTAATTGCAAGTGGGGCTCCTGAGAGTTGTTACGCTTGAGATGCAATTAACCAATTAACGTTCAGAAAAATAATGGTGCTGCAGAACAGGAAACCAGCCACAAAAATATTCCACAAAATATGTGCAGTATTTTTTTGGCTGGTTTCCACTGAGACTTAAATTGAACACATGACCGAGTCCATTCCACGCAGTCTGATGCTGGCTGCATGGCGGGGCTTGGTTGGCAGCTTCTCCATGTCAGCAGGCTGAATGAGCCTGCACCCTGCTGTTTTCATGGTGCCAGTTGAGGGGAACTTATCAGCTGCACCAGGGTACTCGGTTATGGGGAGTGATGAGGCTTCCCCTGCCTTGGCTTGTTGACTGACCTGCTCCACAGCTCCCAAGGAGCTGCAGAGAAAGGCACTTGACATCCTAGCCACAGGGACCCTGGCACTGGGGAAAGCACAGGCTTACATGTGGTTTTCTAACATCCCTGACACACAGGATCCCAGGAATGGGGAATCTTTTTTTGGATCCTAGGGCCTTGGCATGCTGCACACAAGGTTTTCTGACACCCTGGTGCCTGGGGCCCTGGGACTGGCGCCTGTGTGGTCCTGGGGCTGGGACCCACAATCAGCTGATTGTCAGTCCCAGCTCCAGGCTGCATTGGTTCATGCCAGGCTGTGGGTAACTGGCTTTCAACTTCCTGGTGCAGGGGGAGCCTGGGATCCTCCTGCCCTGGCAAGTAGTGATGAAACAATTGGGATCAGATCTCTAATCCCAAAATCCCACGTTCTGCTGTGCATGTGCAACGTGGCTGGAGGTGCAGTTGTTGGGATTGGGGATCAGACCCCATCTTGCCATTACATGAATGTGTGCCAGAGGCTGGGGTGACACTGAGGCAGGAGAGAAGGTGAATAAGGAGAGTAGGGGTGTGCATTTCCTGGGCTGCTGCTGCCCTCTCCTGGTTTAGACGGGGATTATTTGAGTTTAGTCATTCAGTCTACCTTCACATTTGTCTGTGGTTCAGCCATGGAGTCAGACCGTCTGTGGTTTGTTTGTCTGTGTCACAGAATTACAGATTCTAGATACAAGGAAAAGGTGAATTTATGGATTAAGATTGTAGTGATGTCACCCTACTGGGGTGCACTGGCCTCAGGGGGATAAAACCACCTGTTCTGGACAGCCTCCCTATGTATGCCTTGCCAGCCGCTTCAGTAAATGGATGAAACTCGATGAACTTGTTCTGATGTATAAAAATTGTGACTCTCAAACCCTTCCTGGTCACTGTAGTCAAGCATGGGAGCTTGCGCTTGGACAGTGGGGCTTTTCTATCTTGTGGCTCTCATTTTAGTGGCATGGCTCAAATGTGGGTGGGAAATCTTAACCAACCTGAGCTGAAAATAGGTTTGGATGTGTTTAGATTTGTAAAAGACAGAGGGTGGGTTAGCTGCTTATAAGTCCTTTCTTGGGACCAGTGGAAGAACGGCCTGCCATGAAGAGACGCTTGCACCATAAAGTGGTGTGTGAATATATAATTCAGCCTAAAATGTTTCCTTCTGCAGTTCCTGCAAAGAACCAAACTTTCAGTCACGGCCTCTGCATTTGCAGGGTTTTGGGGGGGTTTTTTGCGCCTTCAGCTGCCTGGACCTGCAAAACAGGCATGTGCTCATTATGGTTGAGCAGGTTGATCCTTTGGATCCTTAGTGCTAGAGACTGGCTAAAAACTTGGTGCAGAAGCCCAGATTTGTTGCCTGCCTTTTCTTGCTTCTGGGCACTAAAACACCACTGCAAGGCATCTTTAACGCTTGATGTTAATTGCTGATTGTAACTCGTTTTTCCTTTTGGCCCTTCCCCTCCTCTCTCTCCCTCCCCACCCTCATTCCCTGTGAGAAGTGAAGATGGCTGAAGAGGAAGACAGCTTGGAGGCAGAGATTGTTTATCCCATCACCTGTGGAGACAGTAAAGCCAACCTGATATGGAGGAAGTTTGTGTGCCCTGGTATCAATGTGAAGTGTGTGCAGGTGAGGACGTCTATAAGAAAGGGCAGAATTCATGTTCATCAGGCACCCTCCTTACTTAGGAAGGAGAAAAATTTGCGTGGAATCCAGAATTCCACTTTTCTTTTTGTGGGCATTACTCTACCTGTCTGCTAAGCCATCTCCAGATGTGTTCGTGATGTGGTGCTAGAGGGGAGGAGGACTGAAAACTATTTCTGGCACCGTTGCTATCTTGCTCTCCACAGTTGTGGTTCATAGAGGAGCAGAGCAGCTCTGGTTGGAGCTTCAACTTCTGCCAGTCTGCTGTGGAGTCATTCTCTAAAACCTGGACTATTTGATTACCTGTTCAGTTTGGAAGGTGTTGTAAACACAATAGAAAGCAGTGTCTCCTTTTGGGTTGTACTGCAGGAGAGCCTTGTAGAGGATGCCTCCTTCCCCTAGGAGAGGTGGAGTCTTTGCATGTCTCTTCTCCAAAGCAGAGAGCAAAAACTAAGGTAGATCAGTTCCTCCTGCTCCTGTTGCCTGAAACCCATCTTCTCTTTGCATGTGGCCCCTATGCCTGTTAGAGTACAGTGGTTCCTAATGCACAGCAGTTAGGAGATCAGAATCACACAGCCTCCTGTCACCCCACAGGAAGATGGGACCCAGCTCTGGGAAGCCCCAGTGGAAATTGCCATCAAAGTTTTAATAAAAGACATCAGCAGAACTTGGGAGGGATGATTATGAGGTGCAAGGCTTTGTAGCTCCAAGCGACTAGTTCAGAGTCACTCTGGCCAACAGTGAGGGGCAGATCGTCAGATGGCTATTGGATATCATGTGCTAATAGTTTAATATAGTTCTCTGCATGGCATCCTAGAAGCCATTTCTGGAGCTGGCACAAGTTACTATGCTTGTTGGAGAACCATGCAGAGACTAAAAACTGAATAGGCTTTGAGGCTGAACCTTTATCTCCTCTTCCCTCCAAGACAGTTACGACTCTTTATGGGGATGCCTGTTGGGCAACATGCTCTGAGGAGGATAGTGGTGGGTGGGACAATGTTTCTCACAGCTAGCCTGTCCAATGGTTAGCTGGAGGAAACACAAGCTGAATTAAAGCTGGGGCAGCAGGAGCACATGGTGGGGGGCAGTGTGTTGTGATGCTAACTACACTTTGCCCAAAACACATCAGGAAGCCCTGCCTGATGCAGCCTGGTCCACACAGGGCTAGGCAATGACTCGTAAATAATTTCTGACAAAGGTTTTTGTTAGCATAAAAAAAATGTCTTGGTGAGTAATTGTTCACTGAGAATGGGGCTGACCCACAGAGTTCAGTCAGACACAGGGAAGTTTGGAACAGGAACTCATCTTCATTTTAACAGTCTTGAGCTTTGGCCATGAGATCAGTCCTGCTCTGCTGCCAGGTGCCAGGCTAAACACTGTTTCTGCTACCAGGCTTCCTGCCTATCTACCTTCTCACAGGGAGTGGGTCTTCATTTTCAGGCTGTCACACCCTGTTGTGTTTCTCCCTTTTGCAGTATGACGATCACCTTATTAGTCCCAAAGAATTTGTCCACTTGGCGGGCAAGTCCACCCTGAAGGACTGGAAGCGAGCAATCCGGATGAATGGGATCATGCTAAGGTCAGTGCTCTTGCCTGTTTGTATGTGTGCAGGAGCAGCCACAAGCTCTCCTTCATAAGACAAAGCTGCAGAATGCAGCTGCCAAACTGCGGACCGGATGCGTGTGTCATGGAACATTTGTCCCAACCACAGTCTGTCTGTGCAGTGCTCCACTTCATATCACACGTTTCCCCATTGCTGCTAGGCAGTAAAAGGAGGAACTGCCCGTCCCCTTCCTCTGGCAGCAGTGTGGGAGGGACCTCCCCTGGGACTGGAGCACAGGCATTGTTTAACAGCCACAGAGCAGCAGTACTTACCAGGATAGAAAAGGAACTGGGGAATACTATCAGTTTGGAAATGGAGGGGCAATTGGGGAAGATAGAATGGTCACCTCCTGATTTAGAGCTTGACTAGAATTAAGATCCCATCTTGCACATCCTGCTGTATGATCTGTAATGGCCACAGGTGGTCAGGCTGTGTTCTTTACATCTTCTGTGACAGAGTCCCTGTGCCAGGCATGCTCTTCCATGGCTTTGCTTCATTGCTGATTTAGAGCACAGAACGCACACATTCAATCAGTTTTTCCTACGGTGCGAGATCAGAGCCCATCCATAGATGAGCACACTCTCTGCTGTGATACTTCTGTCCTAAATCAAGTTTTTATACTCAATGCTTATTTGTGCCTTCATCTTTTCTGGACTGGACTACAGGAATTCCCCTCTTCATAGCCTCCTCAAGCAACAGCTCTGGACCTCAGTCTAACTAAAATGTATTCCTTTGCCAGTAGCCAGAAGCACAGGTACCTCTCCCCCTCCCTGGGATTCTGTCTCTCCATAGCCTTCTCACAGAACAGTTATATTCTCCCACTGAGCTCCTGCAGTAACACAAGCTGCTCTTGTTTTCTTTTTTTAATCCACTTCTAACACCTTGGCAGATGCTGCACAGTAAGCCTTCATTTTGGCAGGGCAAGTCTTCTGAGGGATGAAACCCGTGCAAAGAATGCATGAAGACGAACACAGCAGCCTACTTGGCAATGGGGCCCAGAAATCCAGAGTGTCACCCCTAGTTAGCAGAGGCTGGGAGTGCTCTGGAGGCAGCCTGCCCCAGAAGACCATTCCTTCAACCACCACCTCTGCTTCCAAACAGAGGTGTGTCCAGGCCTTCGGGTGGAGGGAGGATGTCCCACTTCTTTCTTTGCCTCAAGCACCCGTAGCACTTTCACTTCTAGCTGCTGGCCATTCTCCTCCTTCCGCAAGGAGGACCTGGAGATTTGTTTCATCCAGTAACAGTGCTTGGTCAAAATGAAGTTTGCATCCCTGCTGCTGAAGGGTCCATGGAGAAGGAGGGTTTGACTACCTCTGTGCTCAGCCTGACTGCACCTCCTCATACAAAGCCAGACTCAGCAGAAGAGCTGAAACTGTGTTGCATGTAAGAGCTAGGTAGAAGGCTGAGCCCAGCCCACCTGCACACTGGAGCTCTGCAGTGCTTCTGTTCACCGTGTTTTGCAAGAAGAGCAAGCGCAGAATACACTTGGGCTATCACTACCAAGGGCTTGGTAGTGATAGCCCTGTACACGTCTAGGCAGAATCTCCAAGGGCTGTTATAAAGATGAGTGTTTGCGGGATGCTGTTGGCCAGTCATGCATGTGGAACACTGCTCCTTAGGGTTGCCATCCAGCATCGCCTTCTTCCTCCAGCCTCTATCACGGGATCACTTCTGGGGAGGAATTGTCTTCTCAGCTTTGCTCTGCATTGCTTCGTCACAGCTGCTTTGTGCACTTCAGACCTTCCAAACACCAAGCCTCTTTTCAAGTGACAGTTTGTCTAAGCTCCTGGCTGGAATGTCCAGGGGGAGGCTCTGCATCGATCCTAATGCCATCATGTGGAAGTATTCATTTTCCCTGGAGCTATTCAGGTGCAGTGCTTGGACATCTTGGTAGTGATAGCCCTGTTCCAGATGACCGCATGCTTGGCTCTAGCTTACTAGTGCATGTTGATAGCACTAACTTTACTTCTCACCATGGTAACTGTGTCCAGTTGACTTTTCTGTATTAAAAAGCACCAATATACATCTGTGTTCGAAATGCAGCCCCAGGTACTGCCATGGTGCTGGTGATATCCAGCATGCATATGCTTTATTAAGCATGGTTCCTGCATGGCCCTCAAGACAAATCCCAATATATGAAAATTAGCCCATTTGGAGAAAGAGCTGTGGTTTCCAGCATGGGTTTTCTTTGATACTCCTAGGTATTTTCAGTGGCCTACTATTTCAAGATTATTTATGGGTACCTGCATCCTGTTTCTTTCAGCTGCAGTTTGATCCACTTAGATATGAGGAAGAGTATTCTTACATCAGGTAGTTCAGATGTCTTCTCTGTTAGTCTGTCAGGTTTGGAGAGGAATTGTTTCACTTCCGTGGGGTTAAATAATGAACTCCTGTTCCAAGGGGCTTACTCTCAGTGGGTCTTTATCGTGACTTCTCTCTGTAGGTATGCATTTCCACAAGCATGCATGTGCATGCACACAGATCATGGATTCTCTTGGTGTGCACACAACTTTTTTCACGCACCTAACTAATCATCTACACCTGTTAAAGCTCACATGCATTGAAGCAGTTGAGTGTCTGAAAACTGGGCCCACCACTTTCTTTTCTGGAGAAGAAGTCACTTCTGGGCCCTACTACCCTGTTTGACTCTTACTCTGAGACTTTGCTTGTTGTACGTTACACGTGAGAATGAGACAGAGTGCCTCCTGTTGGCAGTATGAGAGCCTCCAAAATGAAATGGTTTTTTATCTCCATCCAGGCTCCTGGCTTCCTGTGTCCACTTTGCTTTGCTCATTCTTTGATAATTGCAGCAGTGAATAAGGAGGACAGCAGGGTACATGTTTCATTCCTCATCCTCTCTACTGAGTAATCTTTCCTTCTAATGCAGATGTCTGAAGGTTTACCAGAGACACCTTGTTATACAGCTGCCCCTACCTCCCCATTTCTCACAAAGGTCATTCTTTGACCAGCTGATCGAGGACCTTCCAAGCCCAGAGCACTCTAGCACTCTTCTTGATGACCACTGTTTTCTCCCCTTCTCCCTGTCAGCAGATTTTTGACTCGATGACTTCTTACTTTCATTTATGGTTGTTAGCTTAGTTAATGCTGCCTCTAGGATTGACTAATACAGGAAGATCCATTGCCTCTGCCAGATCTTTGCTCTTTGCTGGCTTTGGTAATAGGAGTCTGAGGTTCCTTCTACAACTTACAGGACTGCCCTGCAGGAAAGTGTTTTTTGCTCTTGCTCCCTATTCACCATACCACTCAGCATCATCTTAACATTAAGGGAAAGGAACGGCAGGAGGATGATCACAGGGATTTGGAAAGATTGTATATGTGGATTGTAGTTAAAAGCTTCAGAATGGCAGCTGCTTTTTGGCAAGCTGCATCAGTCCTATTGGTGCCAGTATATATACTTGTGTTCACTCCTTGTACTGCAGGAGGATCATGGACTCTGGGGAGCTGGATTTCTACCAGCATACCAAGGTCTGTTCGAACACCTGCCGCAGCACTAAGATTGACCTGACTGGAGCCAGGGTGTCCCTGACCAGCCAGACATCAACGGAGTATTTTCCTCTCACTCCTGCCTCTGCAGATGGTATGTTCAGTGCATGTTATAGCCACATAACAAATGCCATTACTGTTGTCTCTGTTAAGCTTTTTACAAAAAAAAGTTACTGGTATTTTCCTTCTGTCTGTTTTTCCCCTTCCAACACTGGGTCTCTCATCAGAGCTAGCCATTGGAGTGCAGCATGGCAGAGAAGTAGATGCCTGGCAAGGGTGTCCCTTGGATACTCTGCAAGAATGGCACTTACCCCAGAGTGGTCCGTCTCTCACCCTGCTTTCCCAAGCACCTAAAAAGTAGAGGCCTCTAGCTAGTCTGCTGGAAAACTCTTCCCTACTCGATGTTCCTCCTCTTCTGTGCCAGCCTCTGACCAGGTGCCAGCTGCCTGCCGTGTTTTATCACAGAGATCAGTGCAGTTTCTTTGTTGCAGCTGAGTTCGAAGTCCCTTTTTCTGAGTTCCCTTTCAAACCTGGGAACTGACTTTCTTCTGAATAATTTAGACGTTTTCGTTTAAGGCTCTCCATCTGAATTATTGATCATTCTTGTCTGATGAAAGATTAAATATAGCCAGGGAATACTACTGGTTTCTATCAGATCTCGTGCACATAAGTTGGAAGAAATGGATTTGAAGGATACTGGTTAAGACTTAACCATTAAGTAGCTTAAGCCCTAAATTTCATTTGCCTTATAATTATGGGGAATGTTCTGCGGGGATATTCTTTGATTTCTGAACACCTATATTTTCAATTCCCTTTGCTACCAAGAACTTTTTTTTTTTTTTTTTTTTTTTAAAAGGAGCAATGCAAATGAGGTATGCATTGTCAGCTACCTTTGCACAGAGCACCGAAGACTTGAACCTCGTGCTTCAGTTGCTATGTGCACACAACCTCTGGTTGGTTTTTTTTTAACTTTTTTTTTTCCCCCACTCTGTGCTACTTCCTCCCCAGCTTGGGTCTAGACTCCAAGCTCTGTGCTGTAAGTGTTCCAGTTAATGTAATTACGGATATTAACATGCATGCAAGGAAGCAGCGGTGCTGATGGATTCAGGCTGCATTTGAAACAAATAGGAGGGAAAAAGAGAGGCTGCAGAGGGGAAAGAACAAACTCATTAAGAGAAGAATTAATTTCAAGCAGCAGTTTTACAGACAGCTCTGTTTTCAAGTAGAGTATTCTGCTGTTCCCAAAAGAACTGCTGCTTCTCAGACCCAAATTTTCATTTCTGCAGCTCCTGCATGCAGTGTGACTGACACCCTGGCCCCTTTATCTCTATGGTAACAATACCACAGAGATTTGGACAAGCTGCAGAGATCACATGAACAGCTGGAAGGAAGTGTGATAGGCAAATGTGGGAGGCAGCAAGGATCTCGTAGTGCGGTGAGGTCACGGACAGAGGTTACAGCCTGTCAAGTGCCTTAAAAGCACTATAAAAAGTCAGGAGGCAGATGTGTGATGCTCAAGTGCTACCGATCAATCCAAACCATGTAAAAAATAAAAATAAAAAATGACCCTGAATGAAATGGGAACAGCTTTAAAGGACTTCACTGTAAAGTGCTTCATGTTACATTAATTCTTCTCCCCAAAATGCAACAAGTTGGTCAGTCCCCCAGCGCCCCACAGTGCTATGCTTCTCACCCCTCCCGTCACCGTGAGCTGAGCTCTCTGTGGCTCGCTCCCAGCTCCACTGCCTTCAGTAGTTCTCAGGGGAAAGTAGCACCGTGTGGGACTCCAGCCCCTCTGAGCCATCTACACCATGGGGCAGGACATGTGCTGCCCTGTCACTCAGCACCCAAGGACCCTCCCCTCCAGGGGACACGATGAGCCTGGCTTAACAGAGCAAGGCAGCTTTCAGGACACATTCAAGGCTTCTGCCCCTCCTTTTGCCTTCCTTGAGTTCACACTTCACGCTGATTTAGAAAGCAGTTTGTTTCCAGGCATGGAGCAGGCAGTATTTGAATGCACGTGAAATGGGGGAGCCCTCCTGAAATGAAACGGACCAGCCTTACAACAGAAGGAAGCCCCAAATAGACGCTCAGGTGTTCCCACTCAGCTGTCCTCAAAAGCCTCCAGGGTATCACGACCAAGAAGCAGGCTTGCAACCCTGCTCACCAGCCCTATAACTGTGCAGTTGCCCAACAGCATGAGCTCCAGCACGCTTGAGGCACTTCAGCTGGGAAGGGACTGTACACTTGTACAGATGTCCTCCAAACTAGGAACGCTTCACTACAGAGTGAGTTGAAGGGCTTCACGTGTATATCTGTCCATACCCTCAGTAGGGGAAAGAGCGGGCCAGTTGATTGAGTCTCTGAGCCTGTCGACACAAAAGTGGAAAATAGGGGTTCTTATTAAGCATTTACTCTTTCTTCTGTGTCCTGTGGATGTGGCAACCTAGCCCAATTTTTGTAAATCACAATTTCTGTGAAAACGTATTAGCCCAGGTACAAAATAAATCTGCCTGCCCTTTGCTCTGTGTAGTAATAGAGAAAAAATCTGATGTAAAAAAAGTCACTGTTCCCCAGGAAAATGTCCATTTTCCAGAGCTGCAGAAATAACCCCTGTGTTACTGCGCAGCTGAGTGAAAGGTAAGCAAAGCCCCCCACTGGTTTTGTGTGACCTTTAGCTCTGCACTTCAATCTCTGTCTGTATTTGACAGAGCTGGAGGAGATAACAAGCTCATACATAATTGAATGCATCCAGTAAAAAAGAAGGCGAGTTGTTGCAGTAACACGGCAAGTGGGTGTATGCTGCAGAGCCTGACACTACATGAAAAGACAAGAGAAGAGCCATGACTTGTTTTCTTTCCCTTTTCACTCTTGATTGCAGTAAATGGATCTCCTGCGACGATCACCATAGAAACATGTGAGGAAGCCACCGATTGGACCACTACCATTGGAGGTACAGTCCATGGAAACCACTTGATGCAGTGCAGACAATTTCCCTTGTGCCTTCTGTGTGGACAACCTGTCTTTGAAATGGGTGTAGGGAGAGGTTAGGAGAGGAACTAAGGTTGAGTAGGAAACACTCTGTCTGTAAGTTTCCCAACCACCTGTATCTTCACGAAGGTATTTATTTGCCAGGCTTTAATTCACCAGAGTGCACTGTTCAGTTCTGTTTGTATGCAGTGGGCCCACAGTTTCATCCTGGCTCAGTAAAGCAGCACTGCATGCTGGTGGTTCAGCCATGAGCTTCCTTGCCTATATCTCTGATTCAGCGGAGTTAGGGGACATCGTGGAGGTTGGCGTGCGGCATCTGGACTGAGCCAAACACCTCCTTGTCAACAGCTGTGTCGGAGTGCCTGGTCATTCAGGCTGGTAGGGGTCCAAGACGGACAGACCCGATGCTGGCTGCATTACTCCCTTGTGCACTATTGGCCACAGGAACTGGCATGTCTTAACCATAGTAATTTGGTAGCTCAGGGTGAATCTTTGACCTTGACCCAGCTGCCTTTGGGAGGTAGGAAGGTTTCCTAAGGGAAGCTCTGCCTCTGTCCTTCCTACATGTTACTGTGATTTGCTTTGAAGCCTGAGCTGGGAGAAGAGACTAACATTCGTTCTGTGGCTTCACTGCCTTGTTAGTCCTCTGTGCTGTGGTGGATGGGGGGAAGATGAGCAGAGATGTCTTCTCGTGAAGCTCCGCAGTGAAGCACTTTGTCCTACCATTGCCACTTTCACAGGGTGCTTGTTCCAGGTGTGTTTTGCCCCTGTCCCTTTTACTCTGGATTCTGCCTCTGCCCCCACCAAGGCAAAGTCTAGATGAATCCCCATTTTCCAAAAGGAGTTCTAGATGCATAGCCCACTCGTGACATGTCAGTTAGCAAAACTTCCCACCACCTGTTCCTAGTGCTTTAGTGTTCTCCCTTTTTGCTTCCTGCACCCATAGATGACACATTTGCTTTTTGGCGAGGCCTGAAGGATGCAGGCCTGCTGGAAGAAGTCATCCAAGAGTTTCACCAGGAGCTTGTGGAGAACATGAAAGGCTTACAGCAGCGAGTCCAGGATCCCCCCTTGCAGCTCAGCGGTAAGACTGTGGTTGCAGGAGCTAGTAAGTGGCATGTTTATGTCTATTATCATTGTTGCATCCCCTTTTAAGTTTTACACACAGGGTCAGTTCTGTGTGGAAAAAATTGGTCCCATTGCTATCTGCACCTTGGCGCAAAGCAGCGTTGTGGCCAACTTCCTTGGAAACTGCAATCTGATCTGTAGGGAAAAA